TATTTGTGGGGTTTTTTTTCTTCATGTTTTTATTTCCCTTTTTTATTTTTTTAAACATCTAAACAAGTGATATTTGGCATATAATAACTGTTATTTAGTGTCTTGCCGGGACTGACCAGCAGACCCTGAACATCGAATGAATGTTAGTCTGACACAGGTTCACTGTGAAAGAGAGAGCTAAGGGACAGCCTCCTTCGCCTGCCTCTTCAGGCTTTTACTGTAACAGCAGTTTGAGATAAAAGTTTATCTTTTAGATACAACCAGTAGGGTAAGTATTCTTGGGAGGACACCTGTGTCTATAGTGTCCTTTAAGCAAGGACACCTAAAGATTAAGCATAAAGATTCCGGTAAACACCCGGGGGCTTGGACTTGTTTGGAAAAGTCGAGACAGGGTCTGCTGCCGTCGGCAAGGTCCCCCTAGGGTCCCCGACCTTTTGGAGATTCCTTCTTACAGACTTGCCAACCAAGTCTCCTGTGCTCCCCCACAGTGTCTAATTCTGGCCATTGGGTTTGTACTGACTTTCACTCATGGTAACCTGTTTCCTAGTGTGGCCTGTCATTTTAGACTGTGATCTCATGTTTAGTGGGGCCGAGTCCATTAGACTCCTGGGAGGCATGAGTATCTATCCCTCCAGAGAAGATCTGCTTCTGCCAGGTGATCTGGGATGCTACCTGCCTGGGACCAATTTTAACTAATTTTTCAGCTGAAGTTTCCCAGACCATGTAGATAGTATAAATTCAGATCCTGAACCTGTGTCAGGGAAAGTCTGTGATTTTAACATCTTGGGAGCTGAGGAAAAGACAGACAAGTTTTCTCACATTTCTTTATTACGATAAGCAGGGTTTTTTTCTAGTCTACCCTTTCACTTAGTATTCCTTTGTGAGTCTCGCCCTTATGTAGAATTCTCAGTTTCAACTCCATCTTTTGAGGACACTAATAATTGTCTCTGTTCTCCCTAAAACCAAGCCTCAAAGTCATGAAGATAGACTTCCCAAAGCAGCGGAACTTCAGTGGCAGTTTACCACTTTGAATTCCAGTGTGTGTGTGTGTGTGTGTGTGTGTGTCCATGAGGATTGCCCTGATTTACATGAGAATTTAACTCTGCATTCAAAAGTATACTTGTTATACTTTATCTAGAATATCCAGATGTTCTTTCTTTTTTAAAAAAAATATATTTTTATTGATTTCAGATAGGAAGGGAGAGAGAGACAGAAACATCAGTGATGAGAGGGAATCACTGATTGGCTGCCTCCTGCATGCCCCTTACTGGAGATCAAGCATGTGCCCTTGATGGGAATCGAACCTGGGACCCTTCAGCCTGCAGGCTGACCTCTAGCCACTGAGCCAAACCAGGTAGGGCTGTTCTGTCTTTCTTAGAGATAGAAACACAATACTTACTTCCTTACATGAGCATGTGATTAGCTCTGGGAGACAGAAACATCCACTCATCCAACCTTCAACATTTATTGGTTTTTCTGTGTAAGACCTAATAACCAGGTGCACATAAAAATGTGCTGAGAGGCATGCCCATGGTGATGTGAGGATGCAGAGGTAAAAGAGACCAATTCTAATGGGGGAATAACACCTAACTTTTATCTCATGCTACTCTGGACCAGGCACTGTGGCAAGCACTTCACATGCATGGTCACCTTATCCTAAAAACAAAGCATAAGATTGGTACTATTCTTAGAATTTCAATTTTATAACTGAGACACAGAACATTTGAGCAATTTTCCCAGTCATACAGAAAGTTATTGGCAGTACCTAGATACAAATTCAAGCAGTCTGAGTCCTGATCCAAACCTTTTAGTTATTATGCTATATTGTGCTTGAACAGACAGTGATTTCGAGAGGGCATTCCATCCACACGTTGAATACGAACTAGTTTGAGGATTATCTGAGATACTATAAAGACCAGCAGATAAATAGCACAACACACATAACACTTCATAAATGCTTATTTCTTCCCCCTTTAAACTTGTATCATCAACTTGTCCATACATTCTTTTCAGGATGGGGACGTACTATACGTGAAGACAGCCTCACCCCCACAGAACCTAGTATTGAGTAGTGATTAATCCCTTGACTGATTCATTGATTGAATTAACATGTTACTTAGTAGCTTAGTTTTGTATTGTATTTTGGCTCTCAAAGCACCTTTACATCTATCAGCTCAGCTTATCAGCACATCCATTCTTGCAAGAGAGAGGACCTCTCTTAAAGGGCTGACACCTGGCTTTAATGAATGGCCAGAATGTGGATTTTACTGAGGTGGGAATAACTTAGTCTAGGGAGAAGGGTGAGTTTGAACTATGTGCAACTGGATGAGAAAGAACCAGAAAAGATTCCTTCTGACTGTGGGGCTCTGGGCAGCCTCAGGAAGGAGGTGGTGGCAGGAGGCCAGGCTTCTATTCCTGAATGATCTCGTTAGTTCCAACTCTGTCATCAGCCATCTGTGAGAGTTTGGATAAGGTAATCCATCTCTTTGAGCCTTAACAGCCTCATCGTCCAGCCATTGCTCAACACTTGGACCTGGGTTTCCCTTCCATGTCATCTATCACACTTTATCATCAGGGTTCTTCATTAGACTGTGAGCTCCATGAGAGCAGAGACTCCTTACTCACCTGTACCTCCAGCACCTAGCACATGTCTGACACATAGGAGGTAATCAAATATCTAGTGACCAAATAGCTAATGAATTGGATAAAAAGAGGAGAGAAGAGAGGAGAAACAAGGCCAATGTCATAGATGCAGGTCTAAGGTACCAACAGGAAGCACACAGGAGCCAATGAGAACACTGAGCCAGAGAGATGGGCCTGCCATACGGGGCCCTCAGTGAGCTGGGGGCAGTCATGTCTGATTAGAAAGCACTTTAAGAGTCAGGGGGTTTCCACAGGGAACTTGAATCATAGCCTGTCCTTTCCATTTGTTTACCCCAACTTACTTCAGAGGTAGCACCAACATAAACTTTAGTCTTGGCCTTCCCAAAGAGCCACAAATTCCAGGTCTCTGAGAACGCTGGATAGGTAGGGTGTGTGTCCGTGAGATTTTAACACCACTGAGGTATAAAGCACTTTGTGAGCCGGGCCCTAAGCAGCTTTCATATGCAAAAGAAGTCTCCATTTCTTTGGATTTCCTTTTTTTCTTCAAAGTCCTCGGTCAGTGTCCAGCCTCTGTACTGGCTTGAACATCTACATGAATTCTGGGTTCACCTCTGGGGGCAGTGTGCCCTTCTTCCTCACCCTGTCACTTCCTTTTTTTAAAAAAAAAAAAAAAAAATAAAATATATATATATATATATATATATATATATATATATATATATTGATTTTTGATTTTTACAGAGAGGAAAGGAGAGGGATAGAGAGTTAGAAACATCGATGAGTGAGAAACATCAATCAGCTGCCTCCTGCACATCTCCTACTGGGGATGTGCCCGCAGCCAAGGTACATGCCCTTGACTGGAATCAAACCTGGGACCCTTCATTCTGAAGGCCGATGCTCTATCCACTGAGCCAAACCGGTTAGGGCCTGTCACTTCCTTTTCCTTCTCCCTCGCCCAGGGTCTATTTCAGCAGACCTTCCACAGACCAAGGCACAGGCTGCCAGGAAACAGCCCTTTCTTTTGTGTGGAGCATAACAATACAGGGTTAGATTTGGCCCAAGGACCAGTATGATTAGATCAGCAAGTCACCCCAAAACTTATAGAAAAAAGATGTGCTTACCCACCATCACAAAGGGATGTCCTGGCTCTTTCCACTTGGTTGGATGACCTATATTAAAACTTTCATTTCCTGGAGGTAGGTAGGGCCTTTGGAACCAGCAGGATGGCGTAGTGAGATCCCCATGGGGAAGCCAGCTACCACCTGTAGCTCATCTCACATCTGAAGCATCTCCTCACCCAACTATGAAAATGACCTAATTGTGCACAGACAACGGCAATTGTACAGGGAAAATAATATAGTAACGCAAATATTCAAACCAAATTGGAAAAGCAAAGCAAGAAGGAGCCAGAAAACATTAGATCATTCAAATTGCAACCTGGCCAAGACAGCATCTGGGCGTGCATCCTCCATCCAGCCTTTGTTCACATACCACCCCCGACGCGTCTTTGCATTTGTAGAATAATGGCTCGGTATTTGCACAAAACCCTTTGTGTAGCTGCATTCTAAGGAACAAGGTTTCTCACAGTGTCCCTTCAGCAGGGTCAGAGAATTCCCCAGTGGAATGCTTTAATAGGCTCCCAGCTCAGAAAGCGCCTTCTCTCTCTGAAGGGAGATGGGGGAGGTGTGATGTCCCTTTGGCCAGCGCATATGTCTTAATTGTGTGATCAGGGCAAGCTATGCTCATGTTCCTTCCTCACCGGGTCATTTCCACTCCAGTTCTGAAAATAAAAAACAATTGGTTAAAAAAAGGGCCTTCCTGACTGAACCTTGGATCCCCTTTGAGTTTGGACAAGAAGTGTGGGCTGTTCCCACTCCTCTTCCCTTTCACATCCTAAAGCTGGGTCAAGTTCGCCCACGAGTCAGGAATAACATGTGCTCTCCTGGCACAACCTTATTAGATTGTCCTTCTGGAGTGGCCCCTACCACCTTCTATGGGGAAATCAGTGGTGAGCAGGCTCTGAGTCTGAAGCCCTGGGCGGAACCAGCTCTGCCATTGCAAGATCTTGGACAGGACAGACTGCCTCTTAAAGCTCTGGATCTCTCGAGCACTGAACAAGAATAGTAGTATTGCCCGGCCGGTGTGGCTCAGTGCTTGTGCTGATCTATGAACCAGGAGGTCATGGTTTGATTCCCACCCCAGGTGCAGGCTCAATCCCCAGGAGGGGGCTTGCAGGAGGCAGCTGATGAATAATTCTTATTAATGTTTTTATCTCTCCCTCTCTCTGCCTTCCTCTCTGAAATCAATAAAAAATATATCTATTTTTAAAAAGAATAATAGTACTGTCTCCCTCCTGGTTTTGTGAGGATGAAATGTTATAAAGAGCTTCTCAGAGCACCTGGCACCTGGTAAGTTTCCAGAAATGGTAGGTTTTCTTCTCACCTCAGCATAAATCCAGTGCGGAAGAGCCAGGTGCCATCACCTGGTCCTGACAGTTTCTCTAGTTCATGAACGTGAAACACGGAGAATGACATTTACCGCGTGAATCCTCCCCCTTCCAGCTAGTGAGTGGGGGACCTTCCACTATAGAACCGGAGAATCAAACGCTCAGCCCCAGTTGCCTGGGTGCTTGAGAATGTCTTCATTTCTGTGGCGGCTCCTTTTGTAGGATGTAGAAAGCCTTCAAAAGCCGGGGCTCCAGGAGAAAGGAGAGTCAGAGGGGAGAAGCAGGGACTGCAGCCAAACCCACCTTTACTTGCCTCGCTTCCCACAGCCGGTCTATGGAGGCCCTGTTCCCCGGAGGCGTCCCCACCCCCGCCCCGGGCAGCTGTGGGAGGGAGTCACATCACAGGTCCAATAGCGCAGTGGTCCCCAGCGCGCTGCGAGTCAGGAGCCAAAGAAGCAGAGTAAGAAAGTAGAGTCCTGATTTTAAATCCCTCCCCAGTCTGTCAGCTTGGGCAAATAGCTCTCCTCCATGAAGCGGGAGGTTGTCATTTGTAAAATGTGACTATGAGCGATACCGCCGGGAGGGTCACGGGGAGGGTCAATTGGGACGCGGCACACGCCGCGGTGGCGTGCGGAAACAGCTAGGTGCTGGCGGGGACCGGGCATCGCAGCCTCCCGGGCAGTTAGGGCGGCCGCCTTCCCCCGCCTCCCCCCTGTCGGCCTCCCGCAGGGACCTGATTGACCTCGCTGGCCACTCTCTGGCTTCCGCAAGGCCAGGGACACAGCCCCGTCTCTGCGTGTGTCAAGCGCCGGCGGTGAGAGCTCCCGGCCCGACTGGCGCGCGCGCCCAGCAGTGGCCATGGTCCCGCCGAAGGCCCTTCGCGGCGCTGGCAGCTCATCCCTCACCGAGTTGGGTCCGGCTTAGTCACAAGTGTTGCAACCCGGTTTCAGTTCTAAAAGGATTACCCTGCAAAGAAAAGAGAACACAAGATTTAAAAAGAACCCAAGTTGATGTTTGTGTTTGTTGCCATGGGACTAGGTTCAACTGTATACAGATGTAGTTGTTTTGTTTTTTTTAATTAAAAAAACTTTCAAGCTGTGTGCTGCAATAGACAAAGATTACACCATGTTTGTATTGCAATGTTGCTATGGAAGTGCATATGGTTTTATTTGGTGGAAATTTGCAGAGAAATCGAAGGAAGTCATATGTATGAATGACAAACAAACATGAAGCTTCAGAAAACAGGCCTCCAAACAAATATTGTAATTAAGAAGGCTCTTGACACTACCTTAAAATCTGGACCAACAGGAGTCATGGGTGCCACTTCACCTGCATGGGCCCTACGCCAGGAGGCAGGGAAATGGAGCCCGAGAATCAAGGGTTTAACCAGTCTGCCACTTGCTGCCCAGGTGACCTTGATGAGTTACTGGGCGATGACTGACCTTTGCTTTCCAATTTCTGAAACAGGGAGCTATTCCCCCTGTTGTGCACTGATATTGCTGAGAGGAAATAATATCATACGTCATGAGTCCCGTTCCTAGTAAGTGCTCAATAAAAGGGTAGCCATTCTTATGGAGTGGTGACAGCAGTCCCAGTTACGCTCCAAGAGTGTAGTCTCATTCATCAAACTATCTTTGGGGCCTTAAGCCCCAGGTACTTTCAGGTGTTGGTTTTGTGGAGAGTTATCATCAAACTGGATGACTGTTGAAACATAGACTTCAGATGTCAAAGGAATTGAAGAGGACGAGGTGCAGCAAGTTGGTGACACTCGCCAGGGGAGCACTGTGGCCTCTCAGCCTCTGGCTCTAATCCCCAGGAACAGCTCCAGCCCCTCTGAGAAGACAGAGGACCCATCTCCAGTGTCTTCACACCTACTATCCACTCTGAACGAACACTTGAAGGGCTGGATACTTATTACAATTGTAACATTTTTAAATCTTCATATAAATCTTCGAGTAAATTCCCATAGATTGAACTCTTCCAGGGAAGTAGAACTCCACATACACTTTTTGTATGGCTTGCACTTTGAAAGATTCACAGACCGGTTGGAATGCCGTCTGCCCCAGCCTCTCTCCCCTGCGCCCCTCTCCAAGACACACAGTAGAGGTTGGCAAACCACACTGAGAATTTGTGCTACCTTTAATCAGATTCCTGGATATTTCTGGGCCTCTGTTTTCTGATCTGGAAAATGAAGATGCTGGATTAGGTGATTTCTGAGATCCTTCTAGACCTATGTATGTCATTCATCTATTTTGAATAGAATACAAGAGGTCTCTTTCAGCACTCTAGACTGTTGATGTTCTAACCTACATTAAGAAACAATGAGAAGTCTGTATCCTCTCTCAAACTGGCATTCTAGTTTTTCTTAGCCCCTTGAAGGGCCCTCAGAAATCTAAAATATACCCGTTCGCTTATGGTTTTCATGGGCATGCCTTTCCTCCTTGCCCCAAACCGGGACTCCACATTGGCCAAATGGTACTTCACCCTGCCAGGGCTGACTAAATGGACTTTTGTCTTCGCATCTGCTTGTTCAACACCTTCATTATGACTCAAGTCACTTTTTAAAAACTAATAAAATTGTGAAAAGGGGGAGGGGAACCTAACCAATTTTGTTTTAAACTACAAACCATATAACTTTGTCACCATTCTGTGTATAATTCAATTGCAGTCTTTGTAATCTGGCAAAATTAAGGGATAAAAATTGAATTTCATTCAATTTACATAACAGAATGGCCAAGGTGTGTGTTTAGACAGGATGTGTGTGTATAAATCTCTTTTTATATGTGTTTCTTTTCTAGGACCCTAAACTTGAAAAAAATGTCTGCCATAATGGTTAATGGTACAGTCACCTTGTTAGTGTAATAGGTATTGCTTCTCACATTAAGGACATTAGCATATTTAGCTGGCTAATGATGTCTGTGCGTCTAATGATAGGATTACTACTGACTTTCAAAGCCCATCATTTTCCCCCTTCTTTCTGCCACCCAACTATTTTGATCTTAGGTTACACGTAGACTGAGGCGTGGGAATGAAAGTCAGCTCACCATGGCTCTGCTCCCAGCTGTGCCGTGAACCAGCTGTGTGACCTTAGAAAATCCTCCTACCCTTTCTGGACCTCGGTGTCCTCATCTGGAGAGTGAACAACTCAGCCTTGGGCCATCCCATCCCTAAGATTACCTTCTGACTAATGGTCAAGGACTCTGCAATCCTCAAGCCTGGAGAGGTTGTCTGCTGCCAGCTACTGTTGACTCCTGGAACTTCTTTTCACATGAGACTAATTCTCAGACACCCCAGCTCTGAAATTCCTTGACCCTTGCACTTGATGCTGTTCTCCCAGGAATCAAGACTGAAGCTTTTGCTCAGACTGGGATTCAAATACCCCAGAGTCAGTAAGAACCTCCTTCCATTTCAAGACTAATTCAAGAATGATAACCCTTCCAAGGGCACACAGGTCATATTTCCTGTGTGTTTGCTCTGTCACCCGATGTTTGCTTAGCTTCTGTTCAATCATTGAGGATTAACATTCCTTTTTTTTTTTTTTTGCCTTCTTCAGATTCCAGCCAGTTGAGCTTGGAGGCCCCTATGAAAACCTTCCCAATCCATTCCTCGTCTCCATTCTCTTCTCCATAAATAGAGAAGATGTCTTCTGGGGTTCATGCAACGAAACCTTCCAGGGCAAGGCTCATGTGGGGAGAGGGAATGCAATGTGCCAAAGCAAGAAGTGCAGTATTGTTCTGGCAAAACAGTCTGCCAAAGGGCAGAGTACATCCTTTGCCTCCCCCTCTTCTGCTGGGCCCAGTGCAGGCCGCATGTGGTGCTTGAACCACAAGAATGCAGTCCTGTGTGCTGCCTCCCGAACCAATCAGGGCAGTGGTGATTGGTTCCACACGACTGTGCAGATTGGTTCTGCTGCTTAACAGCTCGTATCTGGAAATAGATGCTCCTGTCATGGTCAGACTAGGGATGCGAGTGAGGTTGGGGGCTGGTTTGACAGTTTGGGAAACACAAGTTGGACAGTGTGTCCAACTTTGCCTTGTTTGTACCTTGTTCCTGCCCTGTGTGTTATGATTCCTTTCCCAAACTGGCACTTTGTCCTGAGTCTTAGGGCACAAGAGAGCAAACAGGTGGAATACATTAGCTACATCTCTTTTCTTAGACCCTTTGCTGATATTAGTTAAAGCTGCTTTGCTCTTTATTTAGAAATAGTTTTGACTCTGCTTTAAAAGTACCATTTGCAAACCAGTGCTTTGTCATGATTCCTTGTGTTCAGGGAATTAGAGTTGAGTTCTTGGCTGAGGGAATGACACCTCAAGAAGCGTGTCTTGCCCCACTGGCATGGCACAGTGGTTGAGCATCAACCTATGAACTGGAGATCACAGTTCAATTCCTGGTCAGGGTACATGGCCGGGTTGCGGGCTCGATCCCCAGTGTGGGGAGTGCAGGAGGCAGCCGATCAATGATTTTCTCTCATCATTGATGTTTCTATCTCTCTCTCCCTCTTTCTTCCTCTCTGAAATCAATAAAAATATGTGTGTGGTGGTATTGTTGTTTTTAAAGGAGCGTATCTTACTGAGCTGTGGCTACAAAGATGCTGACCAGAAAGGAAGGCTGCCCTCTCCTCACTCCAATAGAACTTTCTACACAAATATCCACAAAGGCTTTTCATCATTAGCTACAGGTGAATTTTGGCTCTCTGCCGACTATTTAAGGCATTTACAAAGCTTTTTAGAGAAGCCCAAGAACCGTGAGGGTGGGGAAGTCTCAGCAGCAGCAACAAGGGACTTGACTTTTTCAAAGGTACTGTTAAGCATCAGCTGAAATTCGGTGCCATGGATGAATCTCACCAGCGTAATGGTAAATGAAATTAGCCAGACGTTCGAGTATGAACAGTATGATTTTTTTATAAAACTACACAAACAGGCCAAGCTAATCTAGTGTGTTAAGAAGTCAGGAGTGTGTTTACCTTTGGTGAGGGAGTGGGGTGGAAAGGAGCACAGGGGAGACTTTTGGGGAACTGGTAATGTTCCGTTTCTTGATCAGGGTCTTGGTTAAACGGGTGTGTGTTCAGTCTGTGAAAGTGTGCACTTACGTTATATGCACTTGTCTTTATTGTATTATATTTCAATAAAAAATAACTTACTGAGAGGCAGTTCAATGCACAGTGACATGGAGCATTATCCAAGGAGTATACAATAGTTAAGTGGGAGATGCAGAAATGAGACAGTACATAGAGTATGCTGTTATTTGTATTAAAATAATGCATAGGCATATGAGTGTATACGCAGAGAACATCTTTGGAAGAATACTGGGAAGAGGGTTTGCCTCTGGGGTGCCTGGAGACCGAGGTAGGAGAACTTGCTCTTTATGTCTTTTTGTGCCTTTTGAATGATGTATCATGCGATTGAATATTTTATTCAATAAAATTATTCATTAAAATGTTAATTAAAGAAGACAATATGCTCAGTGAAATAAGCCACCGAAGGACAAGTAGTGTATGATTCCACTTACGTTAGGTACCTAGAGTAGTCAGTTCATAGAGACAGAAAGCAGAATGGTAGTTGCCAGCGGCTCAAAGGGGGAAGGGATGGGGTTTTTTTGCCTAATGGGTGCAGAGTTTCAATTTGGGAAGACAAAGTTCTGGAGATGGTCGGTGGTGGTGGTTGCATGACAATGTGAATGTACTTAATGCCACTAAACTTGGTTTACTTAAAAATGGTTAAAATAGTAAACTTTATGAATGGTTAAAATAGTAAACTTTATGAATTTTATATTATCTATATTTTGCCACAAGTAAAAAATGTTAAATATATTAATTCAAGCTAAACAGTCATTTTTAGATGAGGTAAGTTTACCTGTGCAGGCTCCGTCATTTGCAAGCTGTGTGTCCTTAGGTGGTTCCTTAACTTCCCTGTGTCTCCGTTTCTTTGCTTCCTCATCTGTAAAGTGGGACAGTACTAATTGAATGAAAGGATACATGTAAAAGGCTGCGAATAGTCCTTGAAATGTAAGTGCTTAAGAAATGTTCATTTTTGTCATTTTTACATGTTGTGATTTAGAAAAGCAAATTGTAAAACTCCATGTGTGATATCACCCCATTTATATTTTGTGGAAATAATCTGTGTGTGTGTGTGTGTGTGTGTGTGTGTGTGTGTGTATCTCATGCACTCACCCATGTATCCATCCTATGTTTATCAAATAGCTCTCTGTGCTGGACATTGTGTTAAGGGCTGGGTGGACAGTGGTGAGCATGGAGTGCGGGGTAGAGAATGGTGGTAACGGTGGGATCCCTCTTTAAACAGAGAGGTCACAGAGGAGATGGCAATTCTGAGCAGACAGTAGCGGGACCCTGAAGGCTCCAGCCACACAAAGACAAAAGGGGGTTTCCTGACACAGGAAGTAGAAGGCTGAGAGAGCCTAAGTGTGAAGGCCTCTCGTGGGTGAGTAAGGAGGAGAGTAGTGCAAGAAGAGGTTGGAATGTACACGGAAAAATCTAGAAAGATGGGGAAGAAACTTAAGCGTAGGTTCTGCTGGGGAGTGGGACTCAGGGAGGTATGGGGAAGAGGGTGTGGAGTGGAGAAAAGGAATTTTACTTTTCACCTCATTCCCTTCTCCACAGTTTAGATTATTTGCCATAAGCATGTATTTTGTTATTGGGCGAGGGGGAAGCTAGTTAATAAAAAATTCAGGAATTTTAATGATTAATAGTAAGGAATCTAATAACTGTTCTTTCTTTTAAGAATCACCTCGTCTCAACTCTCCAGTTCCTCTTCATGAAGCAAGAAAGTAGTGAAATTTATATCTGCTCGTTGGTCTGAAAATAGGACAGACATTGCCTTCCCCTCCTATCTATTCAATCATCTTTCTCTTCGAGCCAGTAATACTTGTTTTCAATTCCCTTCGGTGAAACCCTTAAATCATCTCTTCCACTAGGACTATTTTTACTTTTTTTTAAAAAGGCCTTTCAAATTCATGCAGGATTCTTACTCTGTGGTCACTGTAATGACAGATGCACCCAGTGGCAGGTGCTGGCCCCTTCCAATTAGGGTAGGGAGGAGAGAGGGACGGGATGGGGCCTGGGGGGCTGAGGGAGAAGGAGGAAAGAAAGTAACTTGCTGGTAAAATGAATCCCAGAAGCTCCATGGGGCTGTGTGCTTCCCCCCTGTCTCCACTAGTGTGCCGAGTGCCTTGTCTAAGGTGGGCAGGGGAGTGAGAATTCCCTGCAGAATGTTCTGAAAGGCAGAGAGAGGTTCGCCCTGTCCACGTAGAATCCCAGCGGTGGTAAGACCGCTTAGACCCAAACCTTGGCATCAAGACAGCTGTGGTGTGTTCTAGGACAGATCTGAAAGCCAGCTCCGAGGCCATGTGGATGGGCGTTTTGAACTGGAAGTTTCCTGGCAGTTTCAATCCTCTAAAGCATCTGGGGTCAGAAAGGAGGAAGACAGGGCCTCTGATCTGTTCATTTCATTGCTCACTCGGCAGCTGGAGAAACGAGGTGAATAACACGAATGTGGAACCTTGCAGCGGGCCATTTGTATGCCCAGCCCACGCTCCAGATGTCTCCCTGTGTTTATTCTCTGAATATTTTTTTAATATATTTTATTGATTTTTTTACAGAGAGGAAGGGAGAGAGATAGTCAGAAACATCAATCAGCTGCCTCCTGCACACCCCCCACTGGGGATGTGCCCGCAACCAAGGTACATGCCCTTGACCAGAATCGAACCTGGGACCCTTCAGTTCGCAGGCCGACGCTCTATCCACTGAGCCAAACAGGTCAGGGCAATTCTCTGGATATTTTGATGCCTTTTTCCAACCTGGAAGAAGTACTTTAGTGGCAACTTTATCTTTGGCATCTGGTCCTAAGACACTTGGGTGTCTTCTCTTCCAAGGCTCGGCACTGCCCTTCTCACGGTGTGTACGGTGTGTGTGCCCTGCCCAAGGCCCTCCTGTCCAGACAGCTCCGTACACTGCAGGGGACACTTTCTTTCAGGTTCAACCCACACGGCGCTATTCCCAGAAGACTTCCTCTCCCCTATCACTTTGTGTTTAGAAAATTCACTCTCTGCCAACTGTGGGCTACAATATTGATAATAAACGAGTATTTATTGGATGCTTATTACTGTCAGTCTGTATTCTAGGTACTTTACGGGGATTCACTCCCTTCATCCACATCACGACTCTCTGATGTAGGTGTGGCTGTTGTCCCTGCATACAGATGAGAGAACTAAGGCACAGGGGTCTCTGCTGTCTGAGCAAGCCAGCCATGCTCTGTGCGTTCAGACCCCTGCCGAAGGCGCCAGCGGCTCTCGGTGAATAATCTCTCCTTGTTCTCCTTAACTCCTCATCTACTTTCACATCCTGAGCAAAAAAAATGTGTCCCTGGATTCCTCCTGCCAGCTCCATCTGTGAAGCATGTGGGCCGATGTTTGAATAAGAATGACTAAAGAGGAAAGCGGCTTTATGAACTTCAGACTGTGAACTCAAGGAAGAGAGTGAGTCAGGCCTCCACATTCCTGAAATACCTTCAGGAGGCTCGGTGACCTCAGACAATGAGGCAGAGCGCTCTGGCGTCCTTGGGAGGCCCCCCACAAGGAAGAAGGTGAGGGCAGGCGCTCCTCACCGGTTTCTGTGTGTGCTGTGTGGGGGTGAAGGAGACCTCTTGCCAGAATGGCTCACGGTTGCCCACAGTGCCTCCTCGCTTTGCTCAGGCTGTTCCTTCTGCAGGCAATGCCTTTCCTGAAGCCTTTGTCAGCTTGTCCTCCAAGGCTCAGCGGACACACCGTCTCCTCTGACTGCTTCAGGTCTGGCTCCGCAGGACTTGCACATGCTGCTCTCACTCCCAAACTCCTGGCCCCGAGAGAAAAGTGCTTTCCACGTGTTCTGCCCAGTACACCACTAGGTACACCTTCTGAGGCTGCTAGCAGCTCCGAGGAGACAGTCCTGTCCTGGGAGGTGGGAGATGTGGGTTCTCGCGCCATGCAACCTCCCACACCTCACATTCCTTGTGAATGGAAATGATTTGTTTCTGTCTGCCTCTCCCACAGATGGTGACCTTCGAAGTACAGGGACTTTCAGCCCTGAACACCGTTCTCAGCGAGATTAATTAACATGTTTATTAAATAAGTTTAAAGAATCATGGGCAAATCTTTCTCCCTGGCTTTTACCTCTATCCAGCCCTTTCATCACCAAGTGTAACGCTATAGTTGGGTATGGTGTACAACCACTCACAAAGGGCCAGTACCCACCCACTAAGTTTTGACTTCTCGTGTGTGATTTATCGTGTATGTGTTGCAAGGCCAGAGGAACCTGAGGCTGCCTGAGCCTGAGTTCCGGCACCACAGGTGAGTCATGGAGAACTCATGGTGTTGCTTCAGGAATCCTTCCCAGACTCTTGCACAGGGAAGGAGTGAAAGGTTGTTGTACTTGGGCCCATTCTGTGGATGGAAACACTGAGAGAGTAGAATCACAGGCAAGAGAATTCTCTAAGAGCTGCATACTTTCCAAAAGGAACAGTAAGTGAAGAATGGAATGAGGACACAGAATAACTAAGCTGTGAGTTATTGTTCTAAAGCCCAGGATTTAGATACTCCAGTCCCCTGACTCCGTGGGGAAAGTGCCTTCAACTGTCCGCCCAACACACTAAGTAAAGCTACTGAGATTGGCACCAGCACCAATACTGAGCAAAGCCCTGCCCTAGAGTCGGAAGGTATGGGTTCTTGTCCCATCGCTGGCAGTAATGAAGTTGGTGGCCTTGGACATGTCAAGTAACCTTTCATGTCTCCTCATCTGTGACCTGAAGAAGTTGGACTGGTGAAAAGGTGAGGTGAGGTTCAATACTCCCACCCACTTCTGCTCACCTACACAAATGTGTCTCCAGTGACCAATCTGGCAGTAGGCTAAGCCTCTACTTTTACATGTGACAGGGTTGTCACCCAGTAGTTCCACCCTCCAAGAGAGAAAGCTGGGAGGGTGGGTTAATGCAGGTCCATGTGGCACATATTCAATAGGCAAATGGGATTTTTAGTACCTAATGAGTTTAAAATCTGTTTGCAGGTGAAACAGGAGAGGCCCTCTTCCCCATCTCAACCTTGCCTCCATTCTTGCCCGCTGGCCCTGGCCCCACCCGCCCTGCTCAGTGGTGGCCTTTCCCTCGTTCCGGCTGACCAGGGGAAGCTGCCTGAGGAAGCCCAGCTCTGCCATCCTACGCAGAGCTGCCCTGGCTCACCTTGCTGCATCTGGCAGGTGCCGTCTGCAGCCTCCCGGGTAGTTAATGATCTCCCCCTAGGCAGAAGAGCCCTTTAATAATTTACCAGCGTAGATAAAGAAAAAAGCATAGTTCTCTACTTGGAGGCCAATTAGGCTGGCAATTCAGACAGTATGGATGGAGTTAAGATGGACTTCAAGTTCAAACCAAGCTGTTTTGTGTACGAACCCTGCCTTATAGCTGTGTGTATAAAGCCTTATCAGAACCTCCATTCAGATATTTAAACATCCCAGCCCTACTGTATGATCAGCACTTTAGGGCTCCTTCACGACTCAGGGGACTTAGCTGTATTAAACAAAGAAAACCAAAATACCCTAGGACAAAATGAGATTTAATCACTTAAGGAACTCTAGAGAAAGAAAAGTTCTTTTGCTTTTTCTGACTTCTTGGGTTCTTTATTAGAGTCTGAAAAACTTTTTTTTTTTTTGCAGGAAATTGTATATTTCTTTGAGTCAAAAGTTCAGACTCTGAGAGACATGTGGTGCAGCGACTTTTTAAAAAAAATGCTTTGGGGTTAGAGACCTAGGTTGAAATCTTGTGTTCAACTAATTGGGTTCTCTGAATCTCACTTTCCGCATCTTTAAAATGGGCACAATAGTTCTGTCCTTGGGATTTTTTCTTTTTTTTGATAGTCATAAATATGTAAGGAACAACCTGGCACACCACAGACAATAAATGATGCATCCTCTTCAGCATCATCAGGCTTGCTCATGTCTAGAAAAATTAGAATTTTATACAGACTTGAGGGAAAAAGTCCTCGCTCTCAAAAGTATAACCATGGAATTTAATAAGGATAAACATGGTAGGCCTTGTAACATTGGTGGCTCCCAATGAACTACACCTCCCACATTGACTCGGGGTTTGATCACGTAACTTGCTTTGACCCAGGAGATATTGGAGTGAAGCACTCAGATTTACTAGGTGCTCGGCGTTGGGGATTGTCCTCTTGGCGCACTCTCTCCTAAAAGCCAGCTTTTCGTCCGTAAAAGAAAAGCTCAGGTCAGACCACTGAACGTCCGGGAGCCCCAAGAAGCCACCAGGATGAAGCCATCTTGGACATTCCAGCCCCAGCCAAGCTCCTAGCTGAGTCTACCAACAAAACTGAGACAAATAAGAAATCCTTGTTGCTTTAAGCCACCAAATTCTGGAAGCGTGTGTTTGTTGCACAAATGCCACATCCTAAATTTACATTAAGGAAAGCAAACAGTACAAGTAGAAGTGACAGATTATCCTTATAGAAGTTCATATGAAATAGACCATCAGATTTCAGTTAATTATAAGTATCAACATACTGCTAAGGAACTAAATGCAAGCTTAGCCTGCTTTTATTAAACAGATGAATTGGTTGATTGGCCATACAGTTACTAATTGCCTGCTGGTTACAGGCTTTGTGCTGGGGGTGCCTGGGGCTGGGGCTACCAAGAAATTTAAGACCCAATTCTCCTGGACTCTGTAGCCCCTTAGATTCTGAAATGTAAGTTCATACATATGTTGAGGTCTGACAGTTCAGTGGGAAAGGTGGATAGGTGACAAAAGCCCACTTAGGTTCCTTAAGAATGCTGATCGACTTGCTGGATTTGGCACTCAGGGAACGTCTAGAAAACTCTGTTGATCCTGTGAGGAATAATTGTACCCACTATATACCCTGGGGGCGGGGGTGGGGTCCGGGTGGAAGAGGGGGAGAAGGGAGCGAGTGCAGATGGGGATGGAACACAAAAATTTGAGAACTTAAATATGAGAGGACTGAATTCATTCTGAGTACCAGAAAGAGAATCTTCAAGTTACTGAAAGTTTTAGGGAGATGGCTTTCAAGTTAATATTCAGAAGAATGGCTAACACTTCTGGAGCATGAACTTCAGAAAGAGACAGAGTGGGGAGCATCCCTGTCCATGAGAAAGGCCTGAATTGCCCCTTGCCAAGGAGATGGGGAAGGGGTCCTGGCAGTAGGTGGAGCCAGGAACCCCTAAGCCTCTCCCACGATTCATCCCCAGAGTTCTGTCATTCTCATCCTGCCAGGATAATATTACGAAGTAAAACGGATGATACTCGCCTGACAATAGTGAGTAAAGGCATTGATGACAGGAGACTGAGCCCAGAGATTAGGGAGATGAGAATCCAAGCTTCAGAGACACATAGCTGTTGCCTCTGACGCCTCTCACCACCTTGCAGGGGTCATGAGAACATGTGCTTCCCAGGGATTAGTTAGCATGCTCTGGGAGCAGAGTCGGAGGAGCAGGCCAGGCTAATAGGAGCCTGCAGATTTCACAAGCGTGTGACAGTTTAGGAAGGTTGAGGGAAGGGGACAAAGCAAGGATAAGGATGTCACCTGGCATTTCTGATTGGGTATTACAGCCCTATTCCAGAATCATCATCACGGAACCTGCTTCTCTCACCCTTTAGCTGGCAAAACTATAGGGGAGAAGGTTTTTTCAGGAGTGTGGGCCCCACTTTTTGTTAGTGGGTCTGCAGCACCAATAGCACCAGGTTCATAGGTCTGTAGGAAACAGGAGATCTGGGAGGTCAAGTTTAGGATTCCCTGGAGACAATGCAATTGTGGGCCCAGTCAAAGGGTGTCCTTCACCTTACTGTTGGGGCTCTGGGTGGGAATAAAGAGAGAAACTGCAGATTGCCCCTTACCCACAATTCCTGAGGCTCCTATGCTTTTGCACCCCTGTGCCTTTGCACATGCTGTTTCTCTGTCCCAACTTCTACCCAGAAGTTGGGACAGAGATCCAACTTCCAGATTCTACCCCATGTAAAACCTTCCCCAATCTCTCAGGCAGAGGCATCCTCAGACCTGCATTGCCTCATTCAGCACAGCTTACTGTGGCTAGACTATGAGGCTGGAGGCTGAGTCTTGTTTACCTCTTTATCTCCCAAAAGAGGTGGTCCAGAACCTGGGAGGTCCCTTCTGCTCAAGGGCACATAGTCAAACATATGAGTGCCCTCCCTCTCCCTTCACACACGTGTGGCGTGCTCACCTATGCTCCGCTTCGTGCAGGGTACATACCTGCACTATCGCTGTGGCCCATCTCTCTAAATGGAATGCAACCCTTGTCAGAAATAACTTCATTCTAAAGTAAACCAAACAAAGGAAAGTGTGGTTTCCATTTTCTCCTTCCAGAGCAGGGAAGCCCTGGCACCTGGGGGCGGGGGGTTTAGTCTAACTGGGGCCTGAGCAGACCAGAAACCCTCAAGGGAGGGAGGCCAGTCGTGGCACAAACCCTTCAGGCCACTGACCCAGCACAAAGACTGCACTGTGGGGAAACTCGATCTAAGGGTGTGCCTTGCTCTACGGGAACGCGATACACAAAAAATCCAAAGTCATAAAATAGATAAATCTGGGGTGGTTATTGACTTTACAAGAGAGCTCGCCAGCAGGTTCCTCTAAATAGCCAGCTCCCACAGTCCACTTAAACTGCGATTTTATTTTCAGGAGTTTGATATTACACACCGGTTTTCAGGAGAAACATAAATAGGTCCCCGAGGAGCCTGGCGTCTCAGTGTGTCTGGCCCGCAGCTCGCTGAGCAGCCCTTAAGGTGAGCGGGCCTCGAGCTGCTGTGCTGGAGGCCCTGGGGGTTGGTTAGGGGCTCCCTCCATGCCTGGTCGCGGCATCTGGCGTTTCCGATGTTAGCCGGGGCAGGAAAACCCAGGCCCCATCTGCTCTGCCTGAGCGGGTCATTGATTTCTCAGCGCGCTGTCCTCTGAGGCAGTGGCTCTCAGCCTTCCTAACGCCGC